TGCCTGGGGAGGGAGAGGGGGAACGCCTCCTGCACAACCATGCCTGGGGAGGGAGAGGGGGAACGCCTCCTGCACAACCGCGCCTGGGGAGGGAGAGGGGGAACGCCTCCTGCACAACCATGCCTGGGGAGGGAGAGGGGGAACGCCTCCTGCACAACCACGCCTGGGGAGGGGGAGGGGGGACGCCTCCTGCACAACCGTGCCTGGGGAGGGGGAGGGGGAATGCCTCCTTCACAACCGCGCCTGGGGAGGGGGAGGGAGGACGCCTCCTGCACAACCACGTCTGGGAAGGGAGAGGGGGGATGCCTCCTGCACAACCGCGCCTGGGGAGGGGGAGGGGAGACGCCTCCTGCACAACTGCGCCTGGAGAGGGGGAGGGAGGACGCCTCCTGCACAACCACGCCTGGGGAGATGATGAATCAGATGTTTGTAAACCCTTTAATCATTCCGGAAGCTAGGACCATTCCTGGAGTTAGTAGACTCACGATTATTTAACTCACACAAACTGTGTTACACTCTAGCACACTTCACTGAATTTAAACGGATACCAGTGGCAAGCAAAAGATCTTCAAGAGATCAAAGTAAGGATATGGATCGTCAAAGATCTTAAATCAGACGTGAGTGACCATCACACATGCACCAGCATTTGTTTGTGCTCAACATTTACACAGTTTCGATCATGTATCGATCATGTATCGATCATGTATGACCTAAATACACAGAGATGCACTAATCTATAGAAATAGAATATAAACAAATAATCAATGGCTCTTTTACTCTACTACTGTTGACGATTCAGTTTTGGACTGGATAAGTGTGTCCCATCATGAAAACCTTATTAGATTTCGTATAAGTCTTCTGTTTGAAATCGCTCACTTTTTACAAAGATAACACTGCCAGCAAAACGACGTGTACACAAATGCAACCACACCGGACGGCTGCTAAACTGGAAACATTTAGTAAGAAAGCTAACAGCTTACAGGAAGGCAACATAGCAGTTCAAAATACAGGAACTGTAGATCAACGAGAATCACCCAGAACTATTAATATTTACAAGCTAGTACAACCTTGGGCTGTGTTCTCAATACTAAGCGTGCCGTGTGAATATTAAATGTGCGTGCCCGACACATACACGATAAATTTTGGTGCTGCGGACAGCACTGCTAGACTAGTGGTGAGTTAACAGTACGCCATGCAAAGACCAACAAAAGACCATACTCACTGCGGAAAAGGAACAATTCTAATACAGTGGAACAACTCTGGTGAGAAAGAACAGCCGGGCCCTAATGAGGAAGAGTAATACCCCCAGGATAGGAGCACTCCAGGATAGGAAGTGGAGCACTCCAGGATAGGAAGTGGAGCACTCCAGGATAGGAAGTGAAGCACTCCAGGATAGGAAGTGAAGCACTCCAAGATAAGAAGTGGAGCAACCCTGATGTGGAAGAACAGCCCTAGCTAGGAAAAGGAACAGCCCCAGGATAGGAACTGGAACACTCTAGGATCGGAAGAGGAAACCCCCAAGTGACGGAGAGTAGCGGCATGGAAAAGGAGAAGGTCCCTCTCACAGGAGCATCTCGTAACAGTGAACCACTCACGCTTTGCGACAACCAACACAATCAGAACTTACAGGAAGTCGGCCACCTGTGTCACAACATCTTCTACTCCAGTCTCTTCGTTACTCTGCAATCAGAACGCACGGAAACTTTTTGCAAGCGAAAGCGGTTTACGCATGGCGAGGACACGACTAGATGCTTACTTGAAATCTGCAACTTGTGCCACTACCAATTCCAGTCCTGTTTCACGATTTTGCTGCAACGAAATGCCCAAACTGATTAAAAGTGAAAGCGGGTTCAGCCGCGAGTACGCCCACTCGGCTAAATCGCATAGCATAGAAAAATCACAATCGTATCATCAATAATCGTACATACGAACAACCTCGATGCGACAGATACGACATGTCATTTCACCGCGCTAAATCAATTGCTGCGACGCTCAAACTTGAAACAGGACATGTCGATTCTTACTGCAGCTCGTTATGTTATACGAACAGCGGTATCATTATATTGATGTGGCACAATCCATAACAAAGAACACGTGGCACATTACAGTCTACTCAATAGCCAGGATTCTGCAGATTCTAGATCCCACATATCCGAATATATACCCATGTTGCACATGACTATTCTATATAGTAGGATGTGCATACTACATGTGACATGTACTACATGTTCCCCCCCCCCAAACATCTGCTACCACGCTTTTCCCTGCAACTGCTAGAGTGCATGTCCGTTCCCTCCACCCCTGCTATCACACACGTACGTCCCCCCTCACGCCTGCTACCATGCATGTCCCTTCCCTACACCCCTGCTATCACACACGTCCCCCCCCCCACGCCTGCTACCATGCATGTCCGTTCCCTACACCCCTGCTATCACACACAAACGTCCCCCCACGCCTGCTACCATGCATGTTACGTTGCCTTTGCCCACGCTAGCAAGCACGTCCGTTCGCTCTGCACCTGCTAGAGTGCACATACGTTTTCGGGCAGCGCTTTGGTGAGCTCGCTGTGAGCCATCGGGCCGATGCACAGCTGGTGGATGATCTCGCGCATCAGGCAGTCGGCCGCCGTTACCTTGCCGATGCCAGGAACGAAGCGCTCGCCTGTAACCACGGAAACGGCATCACGTCAGCTGAGGAAACGGAGGCTTCGGGGCAGAAGATGCGAGAGAAGGAATTGCGAGAAAAAAGAAATCGCGGAGGAGTTGAGCTAAATGAAGTTTCGAGCCACAGTTCCTAATGTAGTCTGCAAGTGTGAGTACAGGTACATAAACCAGAAAATGTAATGAAGAAATCGCATAGCAGAGTATATAAGCACAGATATATTTGTTAAATATTAGAGGATAAACTCCATATCCAAAACTCCGCGAGTGGCATAGAGATATATTTGACCAACTGCCAAGGGGAGCTGTAAGCAACCAGTTGCTGCTGGTAACTTGGCCCTATGTCAGAGAACATACAGGGTCACAAGTATAAAGTACATGTTATATTTCAGAAAGCTTCACATTTCTATATGACTATGAACGGTGCACGTGCTTATCCACCTTATATTATTAGTATATGGAAAAATGCAAGTACGAACACAAGCAGTAAAATGGATTTCGGCAAGGATTTTTGAAGGGTGTGCCTGCGTGTTTGTGTGTTTGTGTGTATTAGTGTGCGTGTGTGCGTGTCTGTGCCTGTGACTGTGCGTGTGCATGTCCTATGACTATATGACGACTTACTCAGCAAAATGAGAATAATAACAACAATAATATAAACATATATATACATATCATACACACACATATATATATAAACATATATACATATATATCACATGATTGTGTGATAACGACTCACTCAGCACGATGATGAGCAGACGAAGGAACTCCTCTACTAGAGCGACGGTCTGCCGCAGCGTCTCTTCCTGAGACGACAGCTGTCGCGTGTCGTACGCGTCCCTGAAACAAGCGCAAGCCGAGCGCAGACGCCGCAGCGTCGTTAAACGCCACCGTCACTACAGGTTTTAGTTAGACTGAAATCTCAGATCTAAACTATACTACACAGACAATATATACAATATATAATATTAAGTTTCTATATCTAATATATATACGACATATATGAAATGTATTTTGCACGACCCTAAAACACCGCGGGGTCTTATCTCAATACTCATTACATTAATTAGATTCATATCAATTAGAATCGTTACCTATCGCTTCACCATCTGGGTTTTATATTGGTCATTGTGTAGGTGTTATTGGTGTCTAGTAGCCGATAACTTTTGTGCAAAATGAATCGAGTTATGAATTTTGGGCTCCTTGTGATAATGTTGAACCGTTGATGATAGCCAACCTTCACCCTCAACCCCACGGATCTCTTAGCACCCAACCTTCACCCTCAACCCCGCTCCGTAACCCCGCCGTGCGGCCTCACCTGATCCAGTAGAGCAAGTGAAATCGGTCGAGCAGCGTGACGAGGAAGTTGTTGGGGGGTAGCAGCGACGCAGACACCTGCAGCATGACGATGTCTTTGTCGAGCATCTCGCCCCGGCAGCGCACACTATGATACAGGTAGATCTACAACGAGAGACGCGAGTTGATCAGCAATGTCATGCAGTGCCGAGCCTCGATGTAAAGAATAAGGACGATGATAATGGTAACGATAACCATAACAATAAAAGCAATAACAATAATAATAATGATAATGATAATGATAATAGTTGTAACATTTATCATACTAATACTACAAAAATGATAACAACAATAACAATAATAAAATTAATAATTGATCATGGTAAAAAATGGCACATACTGTAACCTAACAAACCCTAAGGTATCTCTCATATCCACCATTCTTGTACAAACACAGTTAGAATGAAGTAAGAGAACCCTGAAGGAAGGGCTACAGAAGAAGAGCTAAAGAAGATCCGGCAAAAAGGAGGGAGGGAGGGAGGGAGAGAGGGAGAGAAGAGAGGAAGAGAGAGAGAGAGGGAGGGAGACAGGGAGGAAGAGAGGGAGACAGGGAGGAAGAGAGGGAGAGAGAGAGACAGACAGAGAGAGAGAGAGAGAGAGAGAGAGAGAGAGACAGAGACAGAGGCACAGAGAGCAGCAGCAGCTGAGGCGTACGCACCTGGTGCAGCAGTGAGTAGCCGTTGCGGCGCCACATGCCCGCGTGGCTCTGCGCGACCATCACCTGGCAGCGCAGCGGGTACTCCATGAGCTCGCGCGGCGCCGGCTTCTCCTCCATCGTGAACTCCGGTGAGTCGTACGTCAGCCCGAAGCGACCCAGCAGCAGGTGGAGCCCTGCGAAGGGAAGCAAGCATGCTCGTCGTCACGGCAACCGCTGGTTCTCTCACGCGATCGTGACGTCAGCGCGCTCCGAGCTAGTGTACTAACTCGGCAGCATGGAACGTCGCAGATTGAAAAACCGCACACCGCAAGGCGTACATATATAGATTATCTATACAGGAGAATAGCGATGTAGTAACATAACATAAACAGAGAAGTATAGTAGGAAGGTTTCGTATATTCAACTGCGAGCTTTCGAGACACGCTGTCACGCTGTCACGCTACAACAGAATGTAAAAGATGGAAGAATGGACCGGAAGCTAGCTTAGACAGAAACTTCCCATTCTATTGTATTCCGACGTAGAGACACGGCCACGAAAGCCCGCTGTGAAAATACACGACACCTTGCGCCTCTACTTCTTCATTTCTACGGTACATTTCCATTGGCGTCCGCGTGCTTTTTTCACTTATATATACGTATATGTGCGTTACGCGTGGCAAGGTACCTGCAACGATGCGCGACACGGGCAAGTGGATAGAGACGGGCAGCGTCGCCGGGTCATAGTTGATGCACGTCGCCGCCCACTCGTCGACGTCACGTGTCACCACCTGAAAGCGGCCCTGTATCGACCACAGCATCTGCAGCGCGTTCCTGTATGCCTGCACGAGCACTTGTTTCTGTAGAGAGAGGAGCGCACAACGACTCGAGGTCAGAGTTCACGCCGGACAACCGATGATCGCGCGCAGGTACTCACTGCTACGCTTGTAGGTATTCAGTCGTTAGTTGTTTAGTTTTTATAATTCAGTATTTATTTAGTACTTAGTTCGGTAATCAGTCATTAGTTACTCAGTTTTCATTTTCGTTGAGTAATTATTTATTATTTAGCTTGGAATTTGATTGTTTGGTATTCAATTTGTATTTTTCCATTTAATATCTATTCAGTATCTAGTTTGGTATATGATTGTTAGATATTTATTTTTTTATTTAGTAGTTATTTATTACTTAATTACGTATTTGATTTACTTTTCCCACAATCACTGCAATTTCAGTTTATAGAGGACTTTCACGTGTAAAGTAGCAGCACGATCAACATAGGGTTCCCGGCATTCGAGTAGCATTTCTCAAATACTAAACTCCTGTCAAATCAGTCGCTTGCTATTCGAGAAAAGTTTTTGACATCTTTACTCCAAAAACAGTTACTGTATACGCCATATTTTTCGCGTACAGATATTTTTGCGAATTCAGACTTGACGGACAATTTCGCGAGTGGTTAATTTCGCGGGCGGTGAATTCCCGAATCAGTGAAGAACAGCGTGTTGTTATTTTCGCGTGTTGTTATTTTCGCGGTCGGGGACGCATCCGCGAAATTTGCGAAAATTAAAGCACCGCAAAATATACGGCGTATACAGTACTCTTAAAACCAGACGAAGGTACGGGGACGTCGTTGGACATCAGAGGTCTACCGACACCGCACGATGGTGGTTCACACACTCACGTTCGTCGCGCACCACTCGAGCAGGAGCGGCAAGAACATGGAGATCTTGATGTGCAGGTTGAAGGCCGTCTCCCACTCCGGCTCATACTCAATGTGCTGGCCCACCTGCCGCGTCACAGAGTCCATTCCCTGACGAAGGCAAGCAAACGAGATTCGAGAAACGAGAAAAGCACGAGATTCCCGAGCAAAATGTCCTATTTCTAGTAATCCCCACCCCCGTGCAATGCGTTACTAGCTGTGCGTCTTATCGCGACTTCCTGTTAAAAAATCGAATTCATCACAGGAAAAAACGACTGATTTTTGGTTGGTGCACACTCTGCAGTACGGGTATGCGCATTCGCGGGTGGCATTTCCTAGACTAGTTCAATACTAATTTTATAGCTCAGTGCCATCATGTGATAAGCTGGTCAAACCTCTATGGAGTAGTAGCAGTGGGTCTATGTCCCAAGCAGATGTTCCAGGCCTCGACTACACACGTCTATGACTAATTACAACCAGAACACTTCGGAAAATGACTAATATACATCAGTTGTTCATCGCTAATTAACACTGGATCTACATCCCATAGAAACCGTCTATGCCTCCACTACACACACACAATGGTAGCGGCAGTGGATCTACGTCCCGTAGAAACCGTCCATGCTCCTGCTACTCATACAGGGGTAGTAGCAGTGAATCTGTGTCCCATAGAACTTGTCCATGCCTCCGCTAAACAACCGGCCCAGCCCTCAGGTACACACATTTGAGAAATCCTAAACCAAGTCATGCGGCAGCGATGCATCGATGGCACGAGAGCAGCGCGACCGTACCTGCATGCAGCTCAGTAAATCCAGCAGCACTGCAAATCCGTTGAGAAAGTTTTCCGGCAGACCGTCGGGCCAGCTCTCGGGCTTACAGGTGAGCAGATACCTACAAAGATACGAACGTGACACAGACTGAATACATGCACAGGTGACCAGGTGCCTGCAAAGGTAAGAACGTGACACAGACTGAATACATGCACAGGTGACCAGGTGCCTGCAAAGGTAAGAACGTGACCTGGTGACACACAGACTGAATACATGCACAGGTGACCAGGTGCCTGCAAAGGTAAGACGGTGACACACAGACTGAATACAGGCACTTGCAAAGATAAGAACACAGCATACAGACTGAATAAATGCACTTACATGCAAACAGGTACCTCTAAAGGTAACAGTGCGACACACAGACTGAACAGATGCACGCACTCAGGAACCCCATCGTCAGAGAAATCATTATTACCTCCGCCAAGGAGGTTATGTTTTCGCCCCTGTTAGTTTGTTTGTTGGTTTGTTTGTTGGTTTGTTTGTCTGTCAACAGGATATCTCAAAAAGTTACGGACGAATTTTGATGTATTTTTTTGGACGGGTTGGTCTTGGGCCAACAAACCAATCGATTAGATTTTGGTGGTGATCCGGATCCAGATCTGGATCCAGGATATATTTTTTTTGTGGGGAAGACTGACACATTAAAAATTCATTAAAAAAATCCTGGATCTTTTTTTTCAAATTTCTGAAAATTTCATCAAACTATATATTTGGTGTACCAGCAAGATGGGGGAATTGTTACGCTGTGGCGGAGGTTTGCTATCTCCGTTAGTGGTTATGAAATCAACCCAAAAGTGTACAACATTTTATACCATAAGCTTAATCCTATGGTGAGCAATGTGTGGGTATGAGTGTGGAATCATCGGGTAAAAGTAGCCATGCTCAATTATAAAAATCGTCTGCCAAACTCATCTTCCAATAAACAGACACACAACCTGTACCTTGCAAATAAGTGACTCATAGCCAATCAACACGTAAAACATATCAACAGACTGATAATCGAATGAGATGTAATGTACACCTACTTGACATCATATAACATGTACTGTGCTCGTTTGAATTCAACGTAGTTCTGATTCCTCTGGAAGGCAAACTTGCTGTCCACTGCAACAAACAAATAACAGCAATTAGCACTTCGCTAACACTCTTCTTATTCCAGTTTTAGTATGTCTTACACAGTAAACAATGTTATATCTTATATCGGTATATTAAACTTGTTATTATCACTTGTGAAACATAGACACAATAGTGTGCTCAAAGACTTTTTAGGACCAAAACAAGATAATACATTATTTTCCAGGACTTGCCTGGACAATAACCCAATTCAGGAGTTTCCAAAACCATAACCCATTTATCAGAACATTCAAGCCCTGCAAAATGCCATTTGAAAACGACAGGACACTTCCAATTTTCCAGGACCCACATGAATCCTGCACATCCCCACTCCCACGAACTTACTGTTCTTGTAGTGTGCACACTGTTTCAGAAACTCCGCCAGTATCCTCGCCAGAAGATTGTAATCCTGGATCAACATCCGAGCCTAAGACAACAAGACCGTCACATTACCGTAGTGCTGTACCCACTCAATTGTCAGTTCATCAAAAGCGCATCGACAGACTGAATGTGATTATCCCAGACTGCTAAACGTAATTTCCGCACCTTGCTTTAATTGCTCAACAGGCAAACGATAGAAGAATCATGGAGAAATGACACCTGCACATACCAGTGTGAATATACCAGCGTGGGGGACGGTGAACGTACCAGCGTGGGGGACGGTGAACGTACCAGCGTGGGGGACGGCGCCACAGGCAGCCTTCAATTCCCTCTGACTGTGAAAAATTTTTATATATTACTTAAATAATCTAATTGGATCCCCGATCACCACCAAAATGTAACATTATCAAGTTTACCCATTCTCGACCTATCTCCTGAAAATTTTAATTACATTAATTCGGATCTTGGATCACACCGAGAAATCTAATCAATCCGAAAGCCCATTTCTGACCATATCCTGCAAACAATCTCTTCATGAACAATCTGTCCACAACAAACCAGACGCACAAACCCACAACCGAACAAACACACGCCGTGAAAACACTAACCTCCTGCCAACCCTTGGCGGAGGTAGATAATGTAATAAATTATACCTAGAACTAAAGCTGATCAATATTCATCGCACTTCCAACATCTAGAACTCGATTAAGCAAACAAGCTTAAATTGAATATCGTCTGCCATGCGGAATATGCAGCGTCTCTGACAGGGTCCGTTATCAGAACACATTGTAAATAGTTGTGATCTATTCACGAGTCTCAAACTAATCATCAATTTTTGCCAACCTTCACCTTCGCCTTGTAGATCTTTTATATCCTAAACTAATTTATGATGTTTCTGACAACTAGAGGCTACAGACTTCCTGCTGTCATCTGCAACCCTTTACGCTGGGAAACCTTCTAACATACGGCCCACTGCATCAAACCTACTGACGCACCCACAAATACGACAGTGAAAAAAGTAATTGAATCTAACATTACACAACAATGAACGCGACGATAACAACTTTGGGAGCAAACTCTAGTGTGTTGACGTCCAAGCAGTGAACGGACTGCGGGCTGACAGGCGACGACGACAGTCATTCTGGCTAAAACAATAACAATCTTCTAAAAAGCAAGCGCTGTCCCTGTGCTACGTGCGTCTCCACCGCCAGCGTCGGCGGCGGTGATGACAACAGCCAACAGCAAGTGGGCGAGACTGGGTTGCAGGTGTGGGCAAGGAACGTGGGCCCGGCAACAACACAGCCGCTCAGGTCCACGTCATGGCAACCACAGCATCGTCGCGCACCAGACTTTCGCCGCTGGCGGGTGGCTCGCTGGATCATCACAGCTCATCGCAGACTCAGTACTGTGTCTACCGTAAGACTCGGGACATCGTGTCACCGTAGATTAGGGTACGTGTCACCGTAGACTCGGGCAGCGCTGTCACCGTAAACTGCCACGTGTCAGCCGTAAGACTCCCGGTACGTGTCACCGTAGACTGGGTACGTGTCACCGTTAAACTCGGGGCCCGAAGTCACCGTAGACTCGGGTACTCGTGTCACCGGTCCAGACTCGGTACGTGTCACCGTAAACGGGGTCGCGCGGCGCGTGTCACCGTAGACTTGGCACGTGTCCACCGTAGACTTGGTAACATGTGCACCGTAACATGACACATCGGGCTACGTGTCACCGTAGGGCGACTTTCGGAGTACGTGTGAGCCCGTAATCTCGGGGTACCGTGGTCCACACCCGAAAAGGTGAAACTCCGGGGGCCACGTGGTCACGACGTAGACTTGGGTACGTGTGACCCGTAGACTTGGGCAGCGGGTCACCGTCAGAGTCGGCACGCTGTCCACCGTAGACTCGGGCACAGTGTTCACCGCCCTAGACTGCGGGTACGTGCAACCGTAAGAACTCGGTAACGTGTCACCGTAGACTTGGGTACTGTCACCGTAGACTCGGGTAACTGTCAGCGGTAGACTCGGGTACGTGTCACCTGTAGCTCGGAAAAGTAAGATACTCCGGTTCAAGTGTCATAAATAGATTTAGGTATGTTCTTGTCTATCAATAAAGAATTACGGCTATGTGTCGGCTATAGATTCAGGTACATTTGACCGTATATTCTGGTACGCATGTTTGCAATCAATAACTCTGGTATGCTAAACTCAGGTAACTAAAATGTCCTTTATAGTTCGATGACATCCTGATCTTCATGTCCTTCAATAGTTTGTTTGCCATCCACTTGCGCTCAATTGTGTGTTACTGTAGTTGTGTGTTGCTCGTAGTAGTGTTGATCGTTTGTTGTTGTTAGCTCATCTGACTTAAGTCGGTGCAGCTTGTCAGAATCGCATGATTTGTTCGTACCGTGTCGGCCGTTCCGGCCGTGCAGGAACCGTGCGTCCATCCGTCTCGGCCGTCAACAGTTGTGGGCACAAATGCTTACACCGCTCCACTAGTCAGGGCACCAAGCAAGGGAAATCACGCGAAATACTTCGTGAACGTTGGGGGCTAATAACTCGAAAACGTGAGTAATGCGGCGGATTGTTCGCAAGCGAAAGCAGGATCAAACGGTACAAAGTTCATTTAGAGCGTTGTAAAGGAAGGGGGGAAACATTATCCCATCCTCTAACTTACAGGTATAGGGGAGGAAATCAGAATTCGGCACAAATCTAATACGGGCTTCGACTATTAGATCAATTATTATTATATAGACTAGCTCATGATTAAAGTCGAATAGAGTACTTTACGCACTCATTAGAGCGTAGGAAAAACGCACATCACATGTGCCGAAATTGGAGGTCACAGGTCAAAGGTCAATTGGGCACAGGGCAGATTTTTAGACATTTTGACTGAGAACATGGTGGCTAGGTAGCGCAATGATTCGAAAAACTTTTGTCTCAGCGTGCACCTAAAACCATTTTATTCTCGGCTTTATCCTAGAAACGGACCATCATCGTAATCTTTAATTCCACTCGACACATGCGCAAGAGTTAAGTGTCGATAATCTTGGACCCCTCCAAGAGGAGGGTTAAAACATTTGATTTGTTGAGACTGTTAAGCCAAACGTACTGAACTGCTTTGGCTATTATTAGAAGCCATACGCTCTGGTGAACTGTGAGGCTACAGTTGGCACAGTTTAATGCAAAGACAAATGTTTGTTGAACAAGGTTAATACGGCTCCTTAAATCATATTATTTTTCTAAAGCAGTCTTGTCTATAGCCACCCTGAAAGCGAACCAGTGAATCCTTCCTGTGGGTCAGGCAAAAAATCACGGGGCCAAAGCCCAATGGCATATGGCACGCTTCTAATCATAATTGGTATTTGCCCTGTCCCAACCGCGCAAGTGGCCATGATCGCCACATTCTAGATATTCTATGTGGGAAATGCGCTGAAAAGTGTAGCTGATAATTAGTCTAATTTCGAAATGCGGTAGAAAGTCAAACCAAGATAAATGAAGATTATGTATTAACGCTCTGCTCATGGCAACAAATCTGAATATCTATCAGTCAGAACACCGCAGACACCAAGTAGCAACCCTGTCAACACTGCGGCATTTGTTGGTGAATGTGTTGTTGTTGATGTAGTAGTTGTTGAATGTAGTTGTGTTTACTGTAGTTTGTTGTTGCTGGATAGTAGTATGAAATTGATGTTGTTGTTGATAGCATGTAGTTTGTTGCACTTGAAGTTTGTTGTTTGCTGTAGTAAGTTTCCTCGGCTGTAGTTGTTTGTTGGCTGTAGTTGTTTTGCAATAGTTGTTGTTGGCTGTACTAGTTGTTGATGTTGATGTTGATTAGTGTTGCTGTAGTTGTTGTTGCTGTAGTTGGTTGTTTGCTATAGTATGTTGTTGGCTATAGTAAGTTGTTGATGTGATGTGATCGTGATTAGTTGTTGTTGCGGTATAGTATTTGATATTGCCCATGTGTATGTATGTAGTTGTAGCTGAAGAAATAGTTTTAATTTGAGTTGCTGTAAGTTGTTGTTGACTGTTGTTGTTTGCAGATGGCTTCAAAGCCAGCTGCTGAAGCCGGCTGTGTCTGACAGTATTGTCGGGCAATTCTAAATCGCACGTGAGCGAATCGCACTGAATTGTGGGTTGGATCACCCGAGCAATGCTCCACGAGCTCACTGCCCGTGCTAGCCAATGGTCATGAAAGGCAGCCAGCAACGCCAGCAAACTCGCTCTCCTTCCTTGACTTGTTCTTCCTCGCTGACCACGCACCCTGGAAGGGTGAGTACTTGTGGCGATGCAGTGCGGCGGTGAGAGACCTGCGATAGAGGCACGCACGCAAGGTGCGTGTGAGCTGGAAAGTCGCACTCTGCGTGAGAGGTGGCGCACGGGCCAAGAGACAAGTTTTGATTTAGGGAGCGATCCCTTGAAAGCTGCGCTTGAGTGTGAGAGGTGCATGTGGTGTGACCAGAGCGACGGAGAGAGCGTGCAGTGGTGAGTGTGTGGAGGTGCATGTGGTGTGAGGCAGAGCGACGCTAGGAGCGTGTAGTGGTGAGTGTGAGAGGTGCATGTGGTGTGAGAAGAGCGACGTAGGGAGCGTGTAGTGCGTGAGTGAGAGGTGCATGTGGTGTGCCAGAGAGCGCATGGTAGGGAGCGATGTAGTGGTGAGTGTGAGAGGTGCATGTGGTGTAAGAGAGCGACAGTAGGGACGTGCAGTGGTGAGTGTGTAGATGCATGTGGTGTTGAGAGGAGTGCATGGCAGGAGCGTGTAGTGGTGAGTTGTGACGAGGTGTAGTGGTGAGTGTGAGAGGTGCATGTGGTGTGAGAGAGCGAATGGTAGCAAGCGTGCAGTGAAGAAGTGAGTGTGAGAGTGCATGTGGCGTGAGAGAGCGACGGAAGGAGCGTGCAGTGGTGAGTGTGACGAGGTGCATGTGTGTGAGAGAAGTACGATGGTAGGGAGCGTGCAGTGGTGAAGTGGAAGGTGCATGTGGTGTGAAGAGAGTGATGGTAGGGAGCGTGTAAGTGGTGAGTGTGAGAGGTGCATGTGGTGTGAGAGAGCGATTGGTAATGCAGCGTGCAGTGGGTGAAAGTGTGGAGGTGCATGTGCGTGAGAGAGCGACGGTAGGGAGGCCGCTGCAGTGGTGAGTGTGAGAGGTGCATCGTGGCGTGAGAGATGACGACGGTAGGGGAGCGTGCAGTGGTTGAGTGTGGAGGTTGGCATGTGGTGTGAGAGAGCGATGTATGCAGCATGCAGCTGGTGAGAGTGAGAGAGTGCAAATGTGGCGTGAGAGAGCGACGGTAGGGAGGCGTGCAGTGGTGAGTGTGAGAAGGTGCAATGTGCGTGAGTAGAGTGATGGTAGGGAGCGTGTAGTGGTGAGTGTTGAGAGGTGGTCATGTGCGTGGAGAGAGCGACGGTAAAGGAGGCGTGCAGTGTGAGTGTGAAGGTGCATGTGGTGTGACAAGAGTGACGGTAGAGAGCGTGCAGTGGTGAGTGTGTGCGAGGTGCAGATGTGGTGTCGAGAGAGTGATGGTAGGGAGGCGTGTAGTGGTGAGTGTGAGAGGTGCATGTGGCTGTGAGAGAGCGAATGGGTATTGGAGGCGGCAGTGGTAGAGTGTGAAGAGGTTGCATGTGGCGTGAGAGAGCGACGGTAGGGAGCGTGCAGTGGTGAGTGTGAGAGTGCATGTGGGTGAAGAGAGCGCCGGTAGGGAGCGGGGGTGCTAGTGGTGAGTGTGAGAGGTGCAGTAGAGAGCACACAGATCCGCGCGAGTGGTGAGCAGGGTGGGGGGGATTGATCCCGGTTATTGATCGCGGCCCAAGTGCGATGTGACACTCAGCAGCCCAAGGCTATCGCGTGACAATGCAACATGCTAATGCATGATGCAACGATAGCAAACGCGCACATCACAACCACAACAAACTCATGCAGTGTGCAACACACAACATGCAACAAACACCTGCACAACACGAAAACTCAATGCAGATGTGGCAAACACAAACACAAAACAAACACCTGCACACAACAACACGACAAACCTGCCTGTGCAATGTGCAACTCTGGTCGTCGCATGCGTCAATCGTCACCCGTTGTTTTGCAGCCGGCGCGCGTTCAAGTGGTTGCCACCAGCTGTTCATGGCAGTCCTGCTTGGCAGCAGAAACAGCAAGAGACGCTTCTCCATAATTTTGCCAAGAACTACCTCGAAGAACCCGAATCGGAAGCCAACTTCATCAAAAGACGAGCCACGATCACACGATGTCCATCACACTCGCTCTCCGTGCAGATATTCACCGTTCGCCCACGCTTGGTACGCTTCGCCGCCCCGATTGGTCATCGCTGACTAACGTTGCGCTGTCCCCACACGCATGGTAGTTCAACCGTCCCCACACGCTGGTACGTCACCGTCCCCCACGCTGGTACCGTTTCACGCGGTCCCCCACGCTGGTAGGTTCACGCGCCCCCACGCTGGTACATTCACTGTCCCCCCAATGCTGGTACGTTCACCGTCCCCACGCTGGTAGGCTTCACCGTCCGCAACGGCTGGTAACGTTCACCGTCCCCCACGCTGGTAGGTTCACCGCCCCCGCACGCTGGTATCGTTCAACTGTCCCCCCATGCTGGTACTTTTCACCGTCCCCCACGCTCGGATACGTTCACGCGTCCCCACGCTGGTACGGTTGCACCGTCCCCCACGCCTGTAGGTTCGCCGGCCCCCACGCTGGTAGCGTTCACCGTCCCCACGCTGCGGTAACGTCGCCGTCCCACCGCTGGTAAAGTTCACCGTCCGTCCCACGCTGGTACGTTCACCGTCCGCCACGGCTGGTAGTTCACCGCGTCCCCGGGGCGTATCACTGGCTGGTAGGAAAAATTCAGCCGCCCCACGCTGGTAAGTTCACCGTCCCCCACGCTGGTACTGTTCGCCGTCGCCACACGCTGGTAGCGTTCGCCGTCGACGTCTTTGACACTCTGGCGTACGCAGTCCCGCCCCACGCTGGTACGTTACGCCGTCCCCACACGCTTTGTAGCTTCAAATCCGTCCGCCCCATTCACGCTGGTACCTACGTCCCCACGCTGGTAACGTTCACCGTCCCCCACGCTGGTACGTTCACGCGTCCTCCACGCTGGTATCGCTTCAGCCGTCCTCCACGCTGGTACGTTCACAGTCCCCCCGCAAACGCTGGTAGCGTTACCGTCCCCCACGCTGGTAGGCTTCAGCCGTCCCCCACGCTGGTACGTTCAGCCGTCCCCACACGCCTGGTACGTTCACCGTCCGCCCACGCTGGTACGTTCTACCGTCCCGCCACGCTGACGTTCACCGTGCCTCCACGCGGTACGTTCACCGTCCACCCAACGCTGGTACGTTCACCGTCCCCTCAGCGCTGCCTACTTTAAATTCACCGTCCCCACGCTGGGTACGTTCACCGTCCTCCAGCGCTGGTAAACGTCACCGTCGCCCCATGCTGAAGTACCGTTCAGCCGTCCCCCACGCTGGACGTTCACCGTCCCGCCACGCTGGTAGCTTCACCGTAACCCCACGCGGTTACGTTCACCGTCCCCCACGCCTGGATACGTTTCGCGTCCCACTGCTGGGTAGTTCGCCGTCGCCCCATGCTGTAGCGGTTTCGCCGTCCCCCACGCTGGTCACGTTCGCCGTCCCCCACGCTGGACGTTCGCGCGTCCCCACGCTGGCTAGGTTCACCGTCCCGCCACGCGTGGTAGCGTTCACCAACGTCCCCACGCCTGGACGTTCACCGTCCCCCACGACTGAGTCACGTTCACCGTCCGCCATGCGGTAACGTTCCACCGTCCCATGCTGGTACGTGTCACACGTCCCCCCATCTGGTAACGTCAGCCGTCCCCAACGCTGGTACGTTCATCGTCCCCCACGCTAGGTACGTTCACCGTACCCCACCGCTGGCTACGTTCACCGTCCCCCACATCGCTGGAACGTTTCACCGGTCCCCCACGCTGGGTACGTTCTCACCGTCGCCCACGCTGGTAAGTTCACCGTCCCGCCACGCTGGTACGTTCAGCCGTCCCCCACGCTGGTACGTTCACCGTCCCCCAGCGCTGGTACCGTCACCGTCGCCCACGCTGGTACCGTTCACCCGCCCGCACGCCGGTAACGTTCACCGCGTCCCCACGCTGGGTACGTTCACCGGTAACCCACCGAACACACGTAATGACCAAATGGTAAACGATTCAACACGTAACCCCAAGCTGGGGGGTACGTTCAACACGCTCCCCACGCTGGTACCTTTCACTCGCCTCCCGCACGACTAGGTACGTATCAAACCGTGGCCCAAAACGCTGGAAAGCGTAAATCACCGTCCCCCCACGTGGTTATCTTCAACGTCCCCAATGGTCACGCTGATGTAAAAAAAACATTCCGTCCCCACGCTGGTACGTTCGCCGTCCCCACACGTGTACGTTCACCGTCCCCCCACGCTGGTACGTTCACCGTCGCCCCACGCTGGTACATTCACACAGTCGCCGCTCGCTGGTCAGCAACTTCACCGTCAACGCTTCAGCGCTGGTACGTATCCGCCCGTCACGTACGACTGAGGGTAAAAAAAAAAAAACGTTCAGCCGTCCCCACGCTGGACGTTCTCAACCGTCCCCCATCGCTGGTACGTTCACCTCCCCACTTCTTGTAAACGTTTCACCGTCCCCCACCGTGTAACGTTCACCGCCCCCAAGCGGCTGGTAACGCAGTTCGACCGTCCCGCACAGCTGGTACCGTTCACCGTCCCCACGCTGGTACGTCTTCAACCGTCCCCGAATCACGCTGGCCTATTCACCGTCCCCACGCTCGGTAACGTTCCACCGTCCACACGCTGGTATATTCACACTGAGGTATCGCTGCAGGTGATCATCTTACTCACATGATTCTTCTAATCGTTGGCCTGTTTGAGCAATTAAAGCAAAGGTGCGGAAATTACGGTTTACAGTCTGGGATAATCACATTGCAGTCTGTCGATGCGCTTTTGATGAACTGACTAATTGAGTGGTAAGTACAAAGCACTTTTGACGTGTCAATGTGAACGGTCTTATGTTTGAATCTTAGCTCGGGGATTAGTTGATGGCCAAGGATTTACAGATCAATCTGCGAAAGGAAAACTGGCTGGAGTTTTCTGAAACAAAGTGTAAGCACGACTACAAGAAAAGCAGTAAAGTTCGTGGGTAGCTGGCCGGTGTGCAAAATTACATGTGGGTCCTGGAAAATCCTGGGAAGTGTCCCTGTCGTTTTCAAATGGCAATTTTGCAGGGGCTTCGAAATGTTTCACTGATAAATTGTTATATATTGAAAAAGTTTTGAAACACTTTCCTGAGAAGTTTGAAGGTTCATATTGTCCAGCAAAGTCCTGAGGAAAATAATAGTATTATCTATGTCTTTGGTCCAAAAAGCTTTGAGCACACTATTGTGGTCATATGTTCACTAAGTGATAATAACAAGTTTAACATATACGGATATAAGATATCAACATTTTGGGGGTTTTTGTGTTTTTTATCTGGTTTGTAGAGACAATACTAACTGGGTAAAATTATATAAAGAGTGTTAGCGAGTAGCTAAATTGCTCCGTTAAATAATTGTTTGTTCGCAGTGGACAGAACAGTTTTGCCTTCCAGAGGACATCAGAACTACGTTGAATTGCAAACGAGCACAGTATCATGTTTATATGATGTCAAGATAGGTGTAAGCATTTACATCATCATTCGATTATCGAGTCTTGTTTGATATGTTTTACGTGTTGATTGGCTACTGAGTCACTTATTTGCGCTTGTAGTCAGGTGGTCTCGCCCTGTTTCATTGGAAGATGAGTTGGGTGGCAGAACGATTTTATAATTGAAGCAGGCCTACTTTTACCCGATGAATTCCACTCATACGCCACCACATTGCTCAACCAAGGATTAAGCTTATGGTATACAAATGTTGTACACTTTTCAAGCGGTTCTGCCCAGGATTTTTTACGTGCCGGGCGCATCAATTGGCGACGAAGTAAGATGCAACGCGCGTAGGCGCGAAGCCATCTACGGAGGGTCCGCGGGGCATGCCCGCCTCCGAGAAAATTTTTGATTTGATAGTCTGAAACTCAATTTCCTGCATTCTGAGGCAATAACAAGCCCATATATCAGACTTTTTCTTCTCTCTTTTTTTTATATCAAAAATTTGTGCCCGGCGGAGATATATCAGTGCCGCACCCAAGCGAGGCGAGTGGCCCGGCTACACCCGCCCCACACAAAGCCCGCCCACCGTGGGCTAGACCTGACCTTTGGGTTCGATTTCATAACCACTAAGCGGAGATACGCAAAGCCTCCGCGGAAACAGCGTAACAATTCCCATCTTGCTGG